AACTAAACAAAATAAAATTATACTGCTAACAAATTAAAAAATAGATTGAGTTAAACAATTAATATTTTCAAAACCGTAGAGCCATGCTGCAGCTATATTAGTGTTTAGTAGTATAATTGTCACACGCATGGGTCGGCTTGACAGGTGAAGGACCACGCTCTCACAGAATACCAGCGTAAAATGGCAGCTTGACGCTGCTGTATTTCGGATGGTGAGAGTAGAGAACCGGAGACCCATTTTACTGGAAAGAAGGCATTCCATCTTAGTCCTCACGGGTGTCGACGCATCTGCATTTTGATTCTTCATTGAGGATAAATGTAGATGTCTATGGGTCACAGCAACCACTTACCATGAGGCTGACTGTGTGCTCGTTTGTTACCCTATCCTATAAAAAAAATGCGGACTTGATAAATCTACACCATAAGCCACTAAAACCACTTTTTTATGTAAAAATAGCAGTTAATCGATTTAAAAAAAATAAGTTCAACAATAATTTATCTTTCTGACAATGTGGTTTTTATATATCATTTATATGTTCAATATAATTGTTAGATGCGATTTTATGCGACAAAACATTGGAATCTTGATTTTTTAGGCGCTAATAGAACATACCTACGCGTTTTGCGCTAGACATGATTGTCAATGTAAAATAATGAGCTTCTTTAGACATTTTTTTTTACTTATGCATTAATATATTTTTAAAATATTTTGATCCTGTATAAATGCAGCCATTATGTATGTCACTATGATGGATTAATTTCATAGGAATTAATGATATACTTACAACTGGTAAGCAACCTGTCTTTGCCAATTTCTTTAGGAATGCCACAAAGCACGGGCCTTAGCCACCTGCATCCATCGACTTCCTGCATGTCTTACCAGGTCGTCACTCCATCTCGTGGGGGGCCGCCCTACACTACGTCTACTCGAGAACCTCTCTTTCCCTTCGGTTGTTAGTTCTGCGGCCCATTGCCACTTCAGCTTCTTACACTTGGCTTATGAAACATGCAGTATGGTAATGAAAGTGGGTGGCTCAGGCCCATAAGCTTTGTGATGGACTGTAATGATCTAGTCGCTTGAAAAAAAATATCAGTTATTATTTTATATATTGAGTCAGAATCTGTTTCATTCTAGAGAGTGCTGAAAAACAAGAAGATTTGGAGATTGATGCTTTTGAAGATAGACATACGGATTTGGATGACGACTTGCCGCTAATTGCATTTAGTTCAAAGAGTAAAAAAGATGACGATGACATAGGTAAATGAATTTATGTTTAAAAACCTGCATCAAAAAATAAAAAAAATCACCACAAATTCCTCTTGCATCATGTGAGATGTATTATACATACAAATTTTGCTCTTAATTACTTTAGTCACATCTAGCGATTATCGGCTTTACTAGAATTATTTTGTGCGTGCAATTTGGGTCATAAATTATCGGAGTATTTCGCTCTCTCTCCCACTCACGGGCTTTATGGGCGAGCATAGTGATGCGCATTAATCTTGTCGATAAGTGTCATCGATAGTGTATTTAGTTTTGTCATTATGTGAGCTAGTGATAAAAATGAAAAAAAAATTTAGATAAAACAACGTATTTATTAACATAATAATAATAATAATTTTAAATAAATTATTAATTAGTTATCTATCTATTAAAAAACTATAAGTAGAAATGTTTCGCATCTAACAACTTATATTAAAAATAAATATAAAGATAATAACTTATATCTAAAATTAAATATAAAGATAATAACTTATATCTAAAATTAAATTTGTTGTTATCGATAATGGCGTTGCGCCCTCGCAACATGCTTACCGCCCTAGCCGGGCTGAGGCCGAGCTATGATTTATGACCCCAACTGCACGCACAAAATAATTTTACTATAGTGTTTAATATAATGGATTTTCGCAATGTAACGTCTGATTCTATTAATAATCTTTTTGTCTTGTCTTACTACGCGGGCGAAGCCACCTCTGCCGTTTTTAACAGCCTTTCCGATTTCAGTCAACTTTTCGCTTTGGTTTTATTTTTAGGATGTGAGTACGAGGGGTGATCCAAAAGTAATTATCTATAGTCAATATTAAACACGGTGATTATTGCTATTTTTGTTCTAAACCCAGAATTCCCTTAGAAAAAAAATCTTTATTTTGACCCTCAAAAAAAGCTTTAACAGCGTCCATGACTGCGCTATCGTCTGCAAATTTCTTGCCTCAAAGGTGTTCCTTGAGCCGAGGAAATAGATAGAAGTGACTGGGAGCTAGATCGAATTGGGCGGGTGTTCGAACAGTTCAAATCCCGTTTCTTGAATAGCAGCCATCGCAACTGCGGCTTTGTGAGGTGAAGCTTTGTCTTGTTGAAACAGCACTCCAGCTCGCAATTTGCCGTGTCTTTTTCTTTAATAGCCCCCTGCAATCTCCTTGTTTGGTCTGCGTAGTCGAGAGTATAAGCCCGAAATAATGGCTCTGTTTTCCAATTATTCCACCATAATTATTCCTTCAGCGTCCCCAAAAACGGACGCCATAACCTTTCCCGGCGAACTTGACACTTTGAATTTCTTTAGCGTCGGGAGGAGACTCGGTTTCATACCGTTGATTATTGTTTGGTTTCAGGATCAAAATGGTAGATGCAGGTCTCGCTCACGGTCGTGAAACCTTCCATTAAAAAACCGTTAAAAAATCTGATCTGCTTGGAACATTTCGAGATTCACCCTCGAAATGTCGACAAATTTTTTCCACTACACACACTTCGATCTGCCAATACGATATCTTCGACTCCTTTCACTTTATCTTCAGTGAGGGATGTGGATGGGCATTCATCTTCCGTGGATGTTCAGCCCAGCTTAACCTCCTTGGCCCAGCGTGCAACTGTGAAAGGAGCAGAGTCCCTCAATATTTCACCAAGTCGCCGTGTATGTCTTTGGTAGACATTTTTTAAACAGAGAGAGCTCTCATTAAATTTTTCTCCATTTTGATGTTATCTCTTTGATGATTCGTATTCAAATGAATGTACCTCTCGAGAATCGTAGCCTATTTATTTAGACGTTTGACGCGTAAAAAATAAAATGGCGTAGCGCTTGACGGGTTAGCAAAAATCAGTATTTAAGGTTAACTGAGAGGTGTAGCCTAATGCTATACTATTCCTCATGATAAAACCCTTCCACTTTATTATATTAGTATAGATTACAAAGTTATAATGCAGTTGTTGTGTTATGTTCATGTTATTTTTATGTTTATGTCATATTCTCTTACTCCTTAGGTGTCGTTCCAAGCTTATGGCAGACAGCCTTAGTGCATTCGATTCCTAAAAAAGGCTGGGACCTATCCAAATACATGCCTATCGTCGTCACCTCCTTGTTCTCCAAAATAATGGAATCCATTATTAACTGCCAGCTCACGCGGTACCTTGAAGAGCATAAGCTGATTAATGACCTTCAATACGGTTTCCGTCGAAGCTGTTAGGATCGATAGGACGGAAACGGCATGTATGTATGGACATACATACAAAATACATACACACCTACTTACAAAATTAACTATTTTATGGGTGCCAGTGGAGAAGGGACCTGGGTTGCTAGCGCACTGTGAAATTTTACGGCAAACTCCTAGGCCCCTAGCTACCAGGCCTAGTTTTGAATCTTTGTATGGCCTACAAATAATTCCTCTATCTTAATCTTCCCGTAAACTTTCACTGCTGAACATGGAAGGATCTCCCCCGATGTAGGGAGGATTTGCCTTGAGCGTCACGCTTGGCATAGGACTGACGATCGCAGAACCAGACGTGAGCACCTCTGGCAAAGTCGCCTGGCGCCGGTCTGGATATTTTACATCTGAAGTAAACGAGGTGGTTATACCGCCATCTGTCGGAAGCCATCAGATTTTCTGGTAAACCCGTAGTCATCTCTTACGAAACCCACGGGATAAAATGTGATGATAAATTCATTTATGCCGCACTTACGCCAAATTCGACTGTACTGTGTGTATAAAACTAGTTCTGTGTGGAATTCGAAACAGCGATTATTAGATTAATGTAATTATAACATGGTCAGAAGAACCATTCTTTCCCTCAAAAATTAATATGAAAGACATTATTCGGGGTAAATGACTAAAATACTTTATATCTAGCAACATTATTTAGTATAATTATCTAAAATATTATAATTTCTCTATTTTTGCATGGGTTAACCGATAGAAAATGCCATAAGGCATAAACTCCATCCATTGTAAACCGTTTAAGGTGTCTTGCAATAAAGATGCAATGACTTACAATAAATAAAAAGTTTAACTTCGACAAATAATTTTTCAGAAACTTCTGAAAAGAAGATTAAATCAAATTCTACTGATTGTAACATAAACGATGTTCGTGAAGAAAACCTCGATTTTGAAGGCCCTACTATTAAATCAAACCCTAAAATAAAAATAGATAATCAACTAATTAATAAAAAAGAAAAGCATCCTGCAAAGATTATGAAAAAGAAAATTTTAAAACAAAAGAGTGTAAATATACTTAAGAAAAAGACATCTGGGACATCAACTAAATACATTTTTGAATGTGATGGTTGTAGTAAAAAATTTCCAACAAAAGACATTCTCGCCAAACACATTTCATACAGTCATAAGACGCAAAAGAACTCAGACACCACTGCAGTTCGGACACAAGTAGAACAAACTGCAGTACCACGACAAACAGAAATATTTAATTGTGATATTTGCGAATTTAAAACATCTCAAAAACGTTGCATTTTGTCACATCTTAAAGCGCACGTCGCTAAACAAATGTACTGTTGTAATAATTGTGAATATAAATGTATAAGAAAAAGTATGTTGCAAATGCATATGAAAATACACACCGGTGAAAAACCTTTTTCGTGTAATATCTGTGAATATAGATGTATTTTAAAAAGTACTTTGCGAACACATATGAAAATACACACCGGTGAAAAACCTTTTTCGTGTAATATCTGTGAATATAGATGTATTTTAAAAAATATTTTGCAAAGACATATGAAAATACACACCGGTGAAAGACCTTTTTCGTGTAATATCTGTGAATATAGATGTATTAGAAAAAGTCATTTGCAAAGACATATGAAAATACACACCGGTGAAAAACCTTTTTCGTGTAATATCTGTAAATATAGATGTATTACAAAAAGTACTTTGCGAACACATATGAAAATACATACTGGAGAAAAACCTTTTTCGTGTAATATCTGTGAATATAGATGTATTACAAAAAGTAATTTGCAAAGACATTTAAAAACACACACTGGAGCAAAACCTTTTTCGTGAGCTATCTGGTAAAATATGTACAATATTGTGTAAACGTGTTTTATATAAATATGTGTGTATTTTTTGTGAATTTGTGATGTAATTATATAACGAGTAGAAAAACGTTTCCGTGCCTTATGTGCAACTTGAAATTGCATTTATTCTGAAGAAATTAACTCAATACCTAATTTAAAATTTTGTACAACCGAATTCAATATAAATTATTAACAATAATTCAAAAACTATTGGTCAGACCTTGATTAAATTTATATGGGATCACATGTGAAGCACCAGCTTTCAAATAAAAAAAAAGAGTTATCGAAATCGGTTCATGCAGAAAAAAGTTATGAGGTAACAAACATAAAAAGAACATACAGTCGAATTGAGTACCTCCTCCTTTTTGAAGTCGGTAGAAAGCAAAAAATATTGGAACCTTAAAATAAATACCGAATGTGTGAATGGAGGTTAGTGAAACAGACTAGACATTCATGTTTTTTTTTAATTTAAATTATAGCTTACGTTTTTCTTTTTTAGCCTCGACGTTTATCGTCACCGATACAGCCTTTAAAACTACTCTGTTGAACATAGGCTTCCCCCGTGGCTTTCGTCATATTTGCCATAGTTGCCATGCAGGTGGGTTGGCAACGGCGGTTTTTTATTACTTTCACTTGTAATCAGGGAGACGCGGCTGCCCATCTTGTAGTTTGTTTCCCTCTGTCGCCTCTTACGACACCCACGGCACGATATGGGGTAGTGGATTGTCTTACAACATACCACACAGCACCATAACTATATCACGTTATGATGCACTGTGTTGGTGTCCATCTATACGTGGTAGAGCTTGCTGCAGCTATATTATGGTTGTAGCACGAATGGATCGGCTCGACCGGGGTAGGACCACGCTCTCACAGAATACCAGCATAAAATAGCAGCTTTCGTGAGAAAATAGTATTTTGTATGGTGTGTGTAGAGAACAGGAGACCCTTTTTACTGGTAACGAGTCATTCCTTCTCAGTCCTCATGGTGACAATGCATCCGCATTTCATTTCTTAATTGAGGATAAGAATTCTTAATAGATGTCAATGAATAGCAGTATTCACTTACCATCAGGTGGACTGTGTGCCCGTATGTCCCCCTTATTCTATTTAAAATATTCAACGAATATCAAAGATCCACACCGGCCTTAAACCATTCAAGTGTGAGGTGTGCGAGAAATTAGTTAAGGATCTTCATGAGAAGCGGCTCTTTACATACTTTACATACGTCACTACCCGAAGTAGAGTCCATGTCCGTGTAGTCGTTTTAATAATTAATTGTTTTTAATCCTATTCAAAAACGACTATATCAAATATAAAGGTATGATAGTTAAACATACTGGCAATATTAAATTATTATTTATTGCAATCAAAAACTGTTTAGAAAACTGGTTTTAATTTAAACTGAGGAGATATGACGAAGGGGTTTTTGTTTAGCGATAAACGCGCCAACTTGTGTTGTCTGGAGACTGAACTGGACTAGATTTATTCGCCCAAATTCGAGACTTTGTTCAGCAAAGACTACTTCAGACACAAGTTTGTCCCGGTAATCGGCGACGTCTTCCCGAGAAATATTGGCACGGCCAGTGTATAAAGCATCTCCAGTGCTGTCATCCGCATAGCAATGAATTTTACCGGTTTGCAACATATCATTGATATGCAGAAGAAACAGCGTTGGCGATAGCACGCAGCCTTGCGCAACACCAGCGTTAATGTGCTTGCAATCGGAGCAATACGACTTTGATGCTCCGATGTGGAAGAAAATTGGTGATCCAATTGCACAATTTCTCGGGAAGCCCATAGGAATGAAGCTTCGTAAGAAGCGCTTTGTGTCAAACCCGGTCGAAGGCCTTCGCTATGTCCAAACTAACAGCCAACACCCCCCCCCCCTCCCCCCCGCCCCTTACACTCTACAGCCTCCGCCCATTTATGAGTTAGGTAACCCAGAAGATTACCAGTCGAGCGACTGCGACGGAAATCGAACTGACGGTCACTAATCAGCTGGTGAACCTCAAGGTACGGTATGAGCTGGCTGTTAATAATGGACTCCATTATTTTAGAGAACAAGGAGGTGATGGCGATAGACCTGTAGTTGGACGAATCTGAGCGGTCGCCTTTTTTAGGGATCGGGTGCACCAAAGCTGTCTTCCATGCGTTCGGGACTACGCCTAGGAAGTAGGAGTACCGGAAAAGACGCGTTAAAACCGGTGCCAATCACAATAGGTGGGACTCCATCAGGCCCACTCGACTTGTTGACGTCCAGGGAGAGGAGTGCTTTACGCACTGAGCGCTGGTGTTCTGTGAGGTCGTGGTACCACCCCGGTTCGAGTCGGCCCATGCGTATAACAGCAAAGGCTGCCGTGGGGCTATACCACTGTTAAAATAATGATTTCTTATATTTACGCGAAGACTACACACTAAATGAAACTAATTTTTACGAATTTTATACTTTAAAGTTTGGCTAATGCCAAGTCAAAAAGGAGTGAAATATGTTCTCTGCAAATTTTGTTTACAAGATCTTGCTGTCTCTGACGGAGGTAAAAATGATTTGGCACGTCATATTAAAACATTAAAGCACCAAAATTCGTTCGTTCAAATCTGTTACAGGGATAACAGAAAAAGAAAACTTAATAACTACTTTCAAAATAATATATTTTCTTTGTTGGTCGACGAGAGCACAGATAGAAGTCGCACTAAGCATTTATGTGATGTCACTAGATTGTGTATTGGAAACAATGTTAAAGATGATTTTTTGCGTTAGTGCCATTGGAATGTGCCACTGGAAAAGATTTTTATGATCATATTGTTAAGTTACCTATTTAATACCAATAATATACCCTATAAAAATAATATGATTGGGTTCGCTGCATACGGCGCAAACGCTATGATGGGTGCACATAATTCTTTATGCAGTCGGCCTCTCTCTGACATCCCTCATCTATACACTGTAAAATGCATTTGTTATTCATTCAATCTCTGCACGTCTTACGCTTGTGCGACACTGCCAAAAGAACCTGCAGGGCTTGTTAGATATGTTTATGATTACATAAGCAATAGCCCAAAGCGATCAGAGCTATTAAAGCATAGCATAAGATTCTCCACCCTTGCCAAACTCGATGGTTGTCTTTACGAGCTGCAGTTGCTAGAATTTTGGAGCAATACGATGCACTCAAGTTATTCTTCACTGATGCCGTTGTTACCGATCGACTTAACTCAGCAGATGCCATCTTCACAATGCTCAATAATCCATTTAATAAACTGTACCTCGAGTTTTTAGAATTTGCTTTAAGTTTTTTTAATGACCTTAATAAAATGATGCAAAGTGAAAAATCGCAAGTATATAAATTGCACCAGAATGTCTGCAACACGTTCCGAAGCTTGTTGGACTGTTATATTGACACAGCATATCTGACACAAAGCGAGCTCTCGAAAGTCGAAATTGAGAATCCTAGACGCTACAAACCAATGAAAGACGTCTATCTAGGCGTTAAAGCAATAAATGGTTTATTGAATTTGAATCCCAATATCATCCCAAGTGACAAAAAAAATCTATTAAATATATCTATTAAATCCATATAAAATTGAGCAACGCAACACACCTTCCTCACTTCTACACATATCACGAAAGTTTCCACAATTAATATCGGAAAATAAATTGCAGGCATTGGACAATGAATGGCGCCATTTGAGATTAAATTAACATATTATAAAATTGAACGAAGAAGATCTAGAGAAATTCTGGACCGAAGTTTTTAGCATCGTGGATACAGACGGAAATTTGCTATACTCCACATTAAAAGAATTTATTCAGAACCTTCTATGTTAGCCATACTCTACGGCGGCTATAGAAAGAATATTTTCATCAATTAATTTTAATTAAAACCAAGACAAAGAATAGTTTGAACACTGCGACTATCGAGGCATTAATTTTAACCTAACAGCTATTTAACAATAAAAATTAATGTTGTTACATACTCTTTTTCTCCAGACAAAACTATGTTGGATAAAATTAACAAAGAAATATATAGATCTAAATAAATATATATATATAATTTTAATCGTTTTTTTTATTATCACATCTTCCCTCAATTTACATATCTCAAAATCTTTTACTTTGATTCCTTTCTACAGATATTGTACAGATTTTTCACACTAGCAGCACAGATTCATACAGATTTTCTGATTTCTTTCTGCAGATATTATACAGATTTTTTTACATTAACAGTACAGATTTTTGGATTAGTTAAACTGACATATGGCAGCACTGATTATATTACTATCCCCTTTAGGGTTATATGTGTTCTGTGATTACTATACTCTATGGAGTGTAGAGTAAAAGGAGGACCATCTCTGTATATGAAAGGTGTCCCATAAGGGTGGCGCTGTAGTAGCATAGGATAAATTTAAAAAATAGCGCCAAAATTAATTAGAATAAGATAGAAAAATAAACAAGGACCGACCAATCCGCTTGGTTTTGTACTATGTAAATAGTTGAGGTTTTGTATACTGGCATTTTACTAACTACTCTAGTCATGATTTTATTTAAATATTTGAATTCAGTTGACTTCACTCCGTCTACAACAGCTATCTTCATATCGTAGTGTTTCAGATGCCAGCGCTATTGTGATAGATTTTGGAACCTCTATTTTCAGTATATAGTGGGACACTTTTTCAACTTTCACACGTTATAAGATGGTTCTCCTTCTACTCTACCCTCCATACTATGCTCTTTGGTGTCAATCCTCTCACCATAGATAAGAGTGTATATCTCTCACTGCTTGTGCTAGGGATGGGCAAGGGGGAAAATATATCGATATATATCGAATCTATACTTTTAAATAGTATCGCTTGATAAATATCGATATATCGTCATCAATTGCATGATGGAAGGATAAGGTCGATATATCGATATTTTATGCCCAAACCTAGCATGTGCATTGTAATATTTTTGAAAACTGAAACTCGAGCTCGAGTTTATTCATAGACTAATATATAATACTGGAGAAGTTTATTGCTGAAAAAGTGAATTCAATTATAATGTTATAAAGCTAATGGAAACAGGAATGGCCTTTAGTGAAGTTTGTAGAATTTGCTTATGCGTTAATGTACGCATGCTTGTACTTAAGAAGACTAGTCTCCGAAATTTGTACAAAACATTGACGAACAGTTTTGTAAGTTTGTTAACATTTCCTAATATTGAAAATTGAAGTTGCGGTAATTTGTTGCTACCGCCGGAGAAATACACTATTACTTGCCTGATAAAAATGTATAGACAGCTAGGTAATCAGGCTGAAAAACAACAATTAGGCAGAAATCCTACTACGTCCTAGAACAGGCACCGAGACTTAAATGTTTGCAACACGCGTTAGAGAGATAAAAATTACTGAGTCTGTGCCATAAAAAGATACCTTGTGCCTCCTTGCACGCGACGCGCACTGCTACATAGATTTCTCCTGGTGTATGTTCTGGTACATATTACTGAGTTTTATTGCAATTTTCTGTCAAGATATTAACATCCACCCTGGTTTGGTCTTTCATGTGGTAGAGCCACACTGCAACTATATTATGGTTATGGTTGTAGCACAAATGAGTCAGTTACTGGGATAGGACAATGCTCTCACAGAATACTAGTGTATAATAACAGCTTAATGCTGCTGTGTTTCATATGGTGAGTGTAGAGAATTGGAGACCTTTACTGGAAACAATGCATTCCGTCTTAGTCCTCAAGAGTGACAACGCATCTGCATTTTGATTCTTAATTGAGGAAAACATAGATTTCTATAGGCCAGCATCTACTTACCATCAGATGGACTGTGTGCTCGTTTGTCACCCCATTCTATTAAAAAACCACAAAGCCACAACAACATAATTTTTATTTAATATAGATTATTACACAATACTTTTGAAAGTCATTTTTTTATTTACCACTGGTTTAGAAAATACCTCTGTAATAATAGAACCAATATGGTGGCGTACACATTATTCCCAGGGGTTATTTTCATTTATGTATTCTTTGATATTAGAATAACCCTTTTTGATCAATTTAAACTTGTTTATTGACAAATTTTGTACATTTTCTGGGATTTTGCTGTAAAAGCGAATACATTGCCCCATAAATGAATTACTAATATTGTGGAGTCTAGTAACTGGTATTACAGGCTTATGTTTGTTCCTAGTGCTTAAAGTATGAACATCTTTATTCTTATCAAAGCTTTTTATGTGCATACATTACATTTTCATTAAAATATTGCAATGCCAAAGTTAATATGTTTATTTCTTTAAATTTTTGTCTAAGGCAGTCATTACAATTTAAGTTATAAATTGACCGTACGGCTCTCTTTTGCAAAACAAATATGGCTTCAATGTTAGTCACATTATCTATTAAAGTGGGAGATTAGAGTGCACATTGCTTACATACACAGATATTCCCGCACTCTCCTATTTCTCATATTCCTATCAGGCAGAAATCAAAGAAGGGAATAAAGTGCAATGAGTGGTTTCCATTGTGATCGAAATTCTGTCCGTAGGACATTATTATTACCAACCTGCATCTTTATTATTGTTGTATCACAGGTTGGTCGATTCTACTGGGGTGGCACCATAGTCGTTCAGAATACTAGCATAATATTTGTATGGTGAGTGTAGAGAACTGGATATCCTTTTTACTGAGGCAAGGTGTTCCGTCTTAGTCCTCAGGGGTGCCAGCACATCTGCATTTTGATTCTTAATTGGGGATAAATTGTAGATGTGTCTGGGTATTCACTTATCATCAGGTGGACTGTGTGCTCGGTTGTCGTTTACAGGCCAGATACAGGCTTATATCAGTTGTTTTAACAACTGACATAAGCCTGTATCCTGGTTTCATATCTGTAGTTCTATTTTATTTGTTTATCCAATATGTTATTAAATTGGTTTATGGTTTGTGCTGAACATTGAAGTATGGAACAAGCTGCTTTTGCTAGCAGCTTGTTCCATACTTCAACTGCTCTTTAGCTAAAATACACGAGTTATTAGGTGACACGGCTTTAATCAATTTGAAGTGATGTCCCTAAGGTCTGTGTTGTTTAAGTACTGGAATAATAGTTTGTCAAAATTTTGTAGATCATAGTGTTTATATATTATTTTATATGTTTCAATCAAGTGTCCTCATTCTCTGTGATCGTTTAAAGTTAAAAGTTCAAGTGCTTTTAGACTTTCATCATATAGTATGTTTTCAATGCTCTAGAAAATGTTCAATATCTGTGGTGAAGCTCCTTCGGCAACTCAATATAAATTGGAATGTATATTACTAGATAGGTTGAAAATATGTTTTATAAATTTTTAGTATAATTTCTAGTATTATTATTATTATTTGCCATAGTTGCCATGCTAGGCAAGCTGGTTGTCAACTGCATTTTTTTTATTAGTCTGACCTGTTATGAGAAACATGCTGCTGCATAATATACTCTTATGAGATAAAATAATCAAACTGTTAGATGACCAAACCCATCTGTTAGTTACTTCATACTGCAATTTATATTAATTATTATATTATTATAATTATTGTTATTAACTTCCATTTGAAACTAAGTGACAATGGCCCAATAGTTAAGGGTGTAAACTGCAACTCAAGAAAGTATTAAGTTCAAATCTGCCATTTATCTATTGTTGTATTGCACAAGCATTTTCAGTTTACTTGGAACAAATAAGAGAAGTCTTTGTAATGTTAATAGTGATGCTAGTAGTTAAAATTTGAAAGTAGGTTTAGTAGGATTGAATTTTGAAAGCCTCGTACTGGCAAGCAAATTGTTGAGTGGCCCCCCACTGAATTGTGGCAATCTGGCAACACAGGAAGTCGATGGATGTAGGTGGCTTAAGACTGTTACGATTTTTTTCTGCCTCGGAGTCTGTCTGGGTAGTTATCATCCTCTTGCCTATTTCTGCCACCAGCAGCAGTATGTGTCCCGGTGTGAAGGACATTGAGGGCCAGTATAATAACACGCTGTGAAGCATTACATCTCATTCCTCAGAGGTAACATCGCATCTGTAGCCGTTGTTGCAGTTCGTTGCAGGTGCCTATGGGCTGCAGCAGCCACTTACCATCAGGTGGATTGTTATTTTATTTGTCACTTCAATGTTATAAAAAAATGTTGTTGATGAAGAGAATTGTGTGTTTATTACAAACTTGTATATTTAAGTAGTTTTCCATATTTATGACGAACTTTCATATTTTCAGATGGATGAGGATGAGGAGCCCATAATTGTCTGTTTCACCTGTCATGCAAGACTCATTCGTTGCTTAACATTGCAACAACAGGCTATTGAGTCAGATGCAATTCTGAAGCAGTTGCTTGCAGGAGGGTCCATGGTATTATCCGTTCCATCCATTAAAACCTATAAAAGTCCCTCATAGATTGCCTCATATACGAGGGGTTTTGCCTAATTTGCCAGTGCCTTCTATGCTGCTTCCCATTGCCATATGGGAGAATGTTTTTTCTACTGCAAAGTTAAGTTTATCCTTCAATCCAACTTACTTTTTCGTTAGAGCAATGTTCTATATTTTATGAATTACAGTAAGTTAAGTACTTATTTTTACAAAAATAATTAGCTAACCGTTTATGCTGTTATATATTACTCTATTGTATATAAACGAAATATTATTTATATGTAATATTACTCAGTAAACAAAGATAGATCATTGTCAATTTACGGCATTCATGAATCTGATTGGATAAATTGTTGAGACTCTATACTCGGGATGGATGAACTATATACATTCTTATGTAAGGTCATTCGGAACCCTCACTTTGTCCGGTTTTTATTACTATTTGTAGTTGTTGTCAGGAAGATGCTGCTGCCCATCTCGTTTCAGTTTCCCTCTGTCCCATTTTACGACATCTGCAGGATGGTATGGTAGTATGGATTCTCCTACGGCACCACTACACTGGCTATTTCTCTTATTTAACAAAAGAATTTGGTTTCAGTCAATACCAAATCATCATGAGGCTAGAGATAAGATTCAATTCACACCAATTAGTCATATAGATATCAGGCCAGTAGAGTGTTATGTAGAAAATAATTGTAAGGATGATATGTTTAGCCTTGAATCTGTTAAAGTTGAAGAAGAGAATTTCGAAATTGAGAATTCCACATTTGAAGAAAATTGGAATCATGAAATAGGTAAGATATACACATTTTGTAATAATAATAAAATAAGCTACAAGTTACCTAATGTCAAGTGGTTACTGTAGTCCATGGACACAAAATAATATTATAGTGGCATATTGGTGCGGATTAAGCCGTGTGTTCCAGACGGGTACCAATTTACTCGACAAGGCGCTTTTAACACAAACGTTACGCATTCTTAATAGAATGGCTAAAGACATTGACCTATTCTGTTGCACCTTGAGTGAATACACTGGGGTAGGATTGTTTACAATTTTTTACAGTTAATGACCTCATTTTTGTTATGCATGAGAAGAACTACACTGTCGCATTAGGTTATTCATGTCATGATAGTTGTTAGTTTAAATAAATAAATAATTGTAAATGTAAAATAATGAGCTTTAGACTTTTTTTTTTACTTATGCATTAATATATTTTTAAAATATTTTGACCCTGTATAAATCAATAACTTGGTCGACGAACTACTGTACTGAGTAGACGTGTGTTGATTTTGGTGAAAAATATCTAATTAGTGCTCCTCAAATCTATGTCGTATATTCAAACCGAATGGACCTTTAATTGTGTGGAAAGTGATTTATGACAAAAACCCCTTTTAAAGTGAAGACAATACTGTCTAAAGCATCGATAACTGTACCAGCGAGCGGGGCGATGTACTTCACCTCCGCGGAACCAGCACAGTGGCTATTTTTTAACTCGCTCGCACACTGACCCGGTGTTCTAAGCATACAGTACTGCACGTGAGTTGTGTATTTATTATCTTACGCTGTAAACAAGCCATTCTTGAAGTTGTCTGTATCATTGTACACTAAATTATATATTTTTTTTTGCAACTGCTACAATGAATATAATTCGATCTCCACCTACTACCACCGGCGGCTCGCAACCTGACTTGTCAAAAATGCCGGCAGATAATATTTCTGATACACAAATTACTTTTAGAAAACGTAAACAATCGTGAATGCCAGTGCTCGGATGAGATTAAGTTGGTGCAAAATGAGTTATAACGAATCACTTCCTTATTAGAAAACTACATTGGGTCAAATACACAAATAATGAGTCAAATGAACCAGAGTATCGTTGAAGTTAAGAGTGAATTCACCGATCTACGGGCCTCGCATGAACAAACGAGAAACTTGATTAGCTCTAATGTAGCAGAAATTAGTATACAAATCCAAGACATTAAGACTGCCACGTCCAAAATTTCTTTAGAAAACAGCCATCGCAGTTGCAGTTAAAAGTATCAAACGGTGAGGACAAAATAAAGCTACTTGAAAACGACTTTAAACAATTATGTTTAAGCTCGCCAGCCACTCAAACTAATCAGCTGTTTGTAAATGAGCAAATTATTCGCGAAGTCCAAGAGCGCAAAAAGAGAGAAAATAATATAATTATTGTTGGCATACCAGAACAAAATTCCACCAGCACCGAAGAGCGAATCCTCAAAGACGAGGTTGAGGTTCTAAATATTATTTCAATGATAGAGAAAGAAATTCCGAAACCAAATAAGGTTTTCCGCATTGGCAAGTATAATCCGGGAAAACAACGAAAGGTTAAAGTCTGCTTTGACAAACCACAGACAGCCAAGGTGCTCCTTCGCAACAAAGAGAAATTACCTGATAGTATAAAAATTTTCTCTGATCAAACACCGGCTCAACAAAAATACTTCCTGAATATAAAAGATGAACTTTCACGACTCCCAGAAAATGGAGAAAGTGATCTCACGATAAAATATGTCAACGGCATACCAAGTGTTATAAAATCGGTTTCAAAAAACTTCAATCACCAATGATAAATAACACATTACCCGATATCATAAATTATCAAATAGTTAACGACTACCAACTTATCCACACTGTAAAATCACGTTTATCATTTCTTTACTTAAATGCTCGTAGTATTAGGAAGAAAGGCAAACTCGATGAACTTAAATGCATTATACAATCAATATCAACAACTGTACACATTATTTTGCTCACAGAAACTTGGATACAGACCGAAAATCAAACTTTACAACAACAAATCCCTAACTACACACTTTAATTACAGGACGGATATAAGAGAAGGTGGAGTATCAGCATATATACATAATAGCTTAAAACATAACCTTATCAAATCAACTCACCAATACGGAAATAACTACTTATGGATAGAAATTGAAAAATTTGGCGTGGTCTATAATCTCGTCAATTTTCAAAAATTTTTAAGTATACGACAAGCAATTACAGCATCACAAGAGAGCAATAGTTTTCGGAGATTTTAACATTGACCTGTTGACAAAAAACAAGAAATTAAAACAGTACAAACAAGTAGTCAATGAATCAGGATACAGATCACTCAACAAAATCAACCAAACATATTGTTACAAGAGATTCCACCACAAAGAAATCGATCATAGACCATGTTAGCACTAACCTAAGAGGTGACCATTTCAATAATGCTATGATCAACTCACCTATGACATACAGACACACTAAAATATTAAATCCACCTCAAGAAGACTGGATTAATAACAACATACTTACTGGCATTAGTCAAAGAAACTATCTGTGGGTAAAATACAAAAATAATCGAGAAAATGAGACATTAAAAAAAGAGTTTAAGTTGAAGAGAGTTGCAGTGGCTAGGCAGATCCAAACTACGAAGAATTCCTACTATTATAAATTATTTATAGGGGGTCATTGTAGAAGCGTGCTCGTCGCGACCCCTGCCAGCCCTTTTCAGGGCTGCAATTCTACTCAGCTGCGCACCCATGTCAACGAGGGTTAGGGCGTCCCCCCAAGGCGACGCACACCAGCTCGTCCCCGTTGGTGTGGAATGCAGCGCGCAAAGCGGCGATGGGGACCGCCACCCGTCACGCACAGCCCGACACGGCGGATGGTGGAGGACGGAGTGCAGAGTTGGCACGTGGAATGTTAGAGGAGGCATGAGAGATAAGACGAATGAGTTGATCGAAATAATGAAAGAAAGAGAATTAGATGTCGTGTGTATGTCGGAGACCAAACGGAAGGGCAGTGGTACTGAAGAGCTCCCTGGCGGGGCGTTTGCTCTATGGTCCGGAGTCCCGGAGAGCGAGAGCGCCTGCCAGGGAGTGGGGGTGCTGCTGTCTTCTCGGTTGGTCGATGTTATGACTGAATATAAGTTTGTGAACTCAAGACTTCTCTGGGTTCGCTTTAAATTGGGACTGACGAAGTTATTCCTTTTGGCTGTTTATGCGCCGGTGGCTTCGTCGTCCAGGGCTGAGCTGGAGGAGTTTTGGGAGAATGTAAGAGAAGTTCTAGATTTGGCTAGGGGAAACGAAAGGATTGTTGTATGTGGTGATTTGAATGGATGGGTTGGTACCGCTCGACCAGGGTACGAGTCGGTACTTGGAAAGTTTGGCGATAAAAGGGTTAATGATGCTGGCAAGCTTATACTGGCGGTATGCAAGGAAAAGGGTCTTCTTGTGACAAACACTATGTTTAATCACAAGAAAATCCATATGTATACTAGAGAAAGGAAGAATGAGAGAAGTATGATCGATTTGTTCCTGGTGGATGACCGACTGCGAAAACAGGTTATGGATACGCGAGTGTTCAGGGGTGCTGACCTGGGAACGGATCACTATCTAGTGATTACTAGATTTAGGGGTCTGTTCGCGGGTTGGCGCTACCGGACGACAGTGACAGAACCACAGTCGGTCTGTCGCATCCGAAGCTGGAAGCTTCAGGAAGCGGATACTAGGGACAAATATCATGCGAGGGTAGCCGAAAAGCTTGACACCATCGATGGCAGAAACGAATGTGTAGAAAGAACATGGCAGAACCTTAGGGATGGAATGGTAAGTGCAGCGGAAGAAGTGTGTGGAACAATAAAAAGAGGCAGTAGTAAAAGAAGAGATGCATGGTGGAATGATGAAGTGAAAGAAGCTGTAAAGAAGAAGAAGAAAGCATGGTTAGACTACTTGGCCTCTAGTAATGATAAGGATATGAGAGAGAAGATGAAAGAAAGATATAAGCTGCAGAAAGTTCACACGAAAACATTGATTGAGGAAGTGCGTGAAAGGTGTAGAATGGAAGCGGATGAAAGGTTGTCGCACAACTTTAAGGAGAACTCCAAACTCTTCTGGAAAGAGGTTGGAAGGACCCGAAGTGGTGCGACGGCCTTAAGAATGAACAAAGTGCTTTCGAGAACTAATGACGTCCTCTCAGAAAAATCGGACGTCATGCAGCGATGGAGCGAATTTTATAGAGAAATGTATGCGTGTGATGATCTTAGTGAGGGATCCGGGGATGACGCCGTGACTGGCACGCCAGACCCGGACCTCGATGACACTGAGGTCATCAGTATGAAAGAGATTGAACGTGCGATTCGAAGTTTGAAATGTGGTAAGGCTGCGGGACTAGACAGAGTTACTGCTGAAATGGTCAAGTATGGTGGGCCTCGCGTCTGGGACAGCTTTCATCTGCTGTGCAATTTGTGCTGGCGGACGGGGGATGTCCCGGATGATTGGCGATCCGCAGTCATTGTGCCTTTATATAAAGGTAAAGGTTCACATTTTGACTGCGGGTGCTATCGGGCGATCAGCTTGACCAGTTTAGCAAGTAAAGTTTACTCGAAGGTTTTGACACGTGGGATGCAAGAGAAATCGGAAAGATTTCTATGGGAGGCACAATGCGGATTTAGACCTGGAAGAGGATGCACGGATCAAATGTTTTCTCTCCGTATGATCACGGAAAAGCTTCTGGCTGTTAACCAGAAGATTTTCTGTGCTTTTGTGGATCTTGAGATTTTAGCGCATTTGATAAGGTTGTAAGGAAGAAAATGTGGGAACTGTTGCCGGGGTATGGTGTGGATGGCCGATTGCTAAGGGCTGTGCAGTCTCTTTACTGTGACTGTAAAGCCTGTGTGCGGGTAGGGCATGATCTGTCACCCATGTTTAGCGTCCAAACGGGCGTAAAACAGGGTTGTGTCATGTCTTCCTGGCTGTTCATACTGTATCTCGACAGCTGTTTACAAAAGCTGAAAGATAGCTGTTTGGGTGTGAAATTGGGTGACATAAAAGTAAATTGTCTGCTGTATGCTGATGATGCAGTGCTTATTGCACCATCAGAGGCAGAACTGCAGGCATTAGTCACGTGTATGAAAGAGGAATGTGAAATTAAAGGTCTCCGTTTGAATGCTAATAAAACTAAGGTTCTGGTATTTGAAAGGGACGAAGAGAGAACGAAGTGTGAAATATGGGTAAATCAGGAATGTCTAGAACAGGTAAATGAAATTGTATACTTGGGGAGTGCTTTTAGCCGGGTTGGAAGATGTGATTTAGATGTGGACAGGCGTGTCGCTGCAGGGAACAAAGTCAATGGTGCCCTGACTGCGTTAGTCAAAAGGCAAGGCGTAGCGAAGAGTGCACGCCTTGCAATACATAACGCAGTGTTGGTACCGACTTTGTTATATGGCAGCGAAACCTGGGTATGCCAGAAGAAGCATAAAAGTAAGTTGAATGCAGTGGAGATGCGATCTCTTCGTAAAATGTGCGGCGTTACTATGGCCGACCGAAAGCGAAACGAAGAGATTCGCAATATGGCAGGTTTGAAAGATGACCTTATCACAAAAATTGATAAGGGCGTGCTTCGGTGGTTTGGGCACGTTGAGCGAATGAGTGAAGACCGAATGGTGAAAAAAATATATAGCGCGAAAGTTAATATTAAAAGGTGTCGAGGTAGACCGAGACTAACTTTCGAAGACCATGTGAGCAAATTGCTCGAAGAGGGTAGGGTCAAGAGTACTCGGATACCTAGACGTGCATGTATGAAGAAGATAATGAATCTGAAAGAAGCGAAAGAGATATGTAAGGATCGTGACACTTGGCGATCTGTTCTCTCTGGCTACCCCGTCAGGGATTGTGCGTGAAGATAAGTAAGTAAGTAAGTATAAACTATTTCAAAATTATATTAATAACCCAAAAAAAATGTGGCACCTTATAAACAATCTAGCAAACAATAAAATTAAACAAAATTGTGCTTCTCCAAAACTTATTGTAGATTCCAAATCAATCAGTAATACAGTCGAAATTTGTGAAGTTTTTAATGAATATTTTGCAACTATTGGCTCCCAATTAGCAGATAAAATACCTAAGAAATATCATAGTAACGCTACTTCTCCTTTCTCCAAAACACAAACAGTAAATGGTAATGAACTTTCTACACTAGCCCCATGCACTGCTAGTGAAATTAGCAAAATTATACAAAGCCACGATTCGAATTCTAGTAGTGGTATAGACAGAATTAGCACAAAAGTGATAAAGTGCCTACAAAATTTGATAACACATGGCTTAGCTCGATGTTTCAATAAACTTATGATCGATGGGGAGTTTCCAGATACTATAAAGGTTGCAAAGGTAACACCAATTTATAAATCTGGACTTAAAACCGACCCAGGAAACTATCGTTCCATATCAATATTGCCGGTCATGTCAAAAATTTTTGAAAAAATCATACATAACCGCTTAGTAAATTACTTAAATTCTTTTAACTTTATATCAGAACGGCAATATGGATTTAGAGCCAAAAGTAGCACCACTACCGCAACGATCGATCTAACGACGAAAATAAAAGATAGTATAGATAAACGGCAAGTGGTTTTAGGTGTTTTTATCGATTTAAAAAAACCTTTGATACTGTAAGTCACAAATTGCTATTAGAAAAACTTGAAAGAATCGGTATCAAAGGAAGTGCTCTTAAAATACTTAAATCATACCTATCAAATAGATTGCAAGTAGTGAAGCTGGATAATTTTCAAAGTATTGCCTTACCTGTCACGCATGGCGTGCCACAGGGATCCATACTGGGGCCACTCCTATTTCTAGTCTATGTAAACCACATCGCAGAACTGGGGCTACATGGTCATATAACTCTGACGACTGACGCTGACGACACATGTCTGTTTTATTTCGGATCTAATATACATGACATTATCTCACAAGCGTAAGAAGATCTAGAACTATTGTTTGAGTGGTTCCAATTCAATTTGCTAACGGTAAACACTTCTAAAACATGTTACATAATTTTTAAATCAAAAAACAAAACTATACCATTACATGACCCACTGACAATTGCTAACATCCCCTTGGAACAAAAAACCTGTGAAAAATACCTAGGCTTGAGAATGGACAGCTACTTAACATGGAATAACCAAATAGAATTGATCACATTAAAAATAAACTTTCGGCACTTACTGGATCACTTCACAATATTTCCCATTGCCTACCTAAAAAAATGCGGTACACTATTAATAACTCTTTAGTCAAATCACATTTAATTTATCTTATTGAAATTTGGGGCAACGCTGCTAAAACTAAGTTACAGGAACTTCAAAGGATACAAAATAAAATAATAAAAATACTTTTTCACTATCAGTATCTAACACCAACTTGTAAAATTTTCAAAGAAACAAAACTTATGAACGTTCAACAACTACATATATATATATATATATATATATATATATATATATATATATATATATATATATATATATTACTTGCATTTTAATTAGGAAAATACTTGATAAAACC